TATATATATACAGGGTTAGGACAAAGGAAATTATGGAAACACTTCTACACTAATTCATTCTTTCATATGTCCCAAGAAATGAAATATGTAAAGAATTATTTTATAACGGTTAGATTATGCGATTTCTCACACATATCAATGAAGTTTAAAGCTTTTAGGTGTTTGAGGTAGCAGCATTAAAGAATGTTTTTAAACACCCAATGCCGAAAGATACAGGGATGACATGTGCTCAGCTTTCGGCAAAAGTTTTATTAGATTGGTAGCGAATTAAATATATATATATATATTTAAATTATAAAATATATATTATATATTTAATATATAAATATTAAATATATATATGGACAGCGAGTATACACTTTTGTTGACGACGAGGGCTCCATCCCGATCCTGAACTATATCTCAAGAACTTCCGTATTCCCGTTTTAAGCGAAGCAAAATTTCTTGGTATGATCTTGGACTCTAAACTCACTTTTGCATCTCATATTAAACACTTAAGAAAAACCTGTGGACTAAAATTAAATTTACTTAAAGTTTTGACAAACTCTTCTTGGGGTGCAGATACAGGTGCTATGCTCAAAATTTACAAATGTATCATTCGATCTAAACTTGACTATGGTTGCGTTGTCTCTGGATCAACCAGAAAATCTGGTCCTAAATATCTTGACACTATCCATAATTCCGGCATACGCATAGCAACAGGAGCATTTCGCACATCGCCCATAAAAAGTCTAAACGTTCTATATCATGAACCAACTCTTGCTCAGCGGCGGAATAAGTTAACATTGAGATACTATTTTCATATCAAAAGCCATCATACACATCCCATGTTTTCTCATGTTTCAACTCCATTTTATGAAAGATTGTTTAGCAACAGACCCTCTGCAATACCGACTTTTGGGTTGAGAGTAAGAAAGCTTTTATCTGACCTAAACCTGGAGGATTTTAGTATTTTACCTGCATATGAATTAAGACCACCATGGGAAGCCATTTCCTTCCAAACTATTGATATTTTTAACAATTTGACAAAAGCACAAACTGATGCTAACATTTACCTACAAACTTTTAATGCACACCGAGAACAATATACAGATTTTAATTCCATTTTTACAGATGGCTCTAAAAGCCATGACCATGTTGCAAGCGCTGCTGTTATCCCTATCTCTACAATATCTGAAAAATTACATTCGCAATGCTCCGTATTTACATCTGAATGCCATGCAATTTATCTGGCCCTCCAATATATTTCCTCTCAAAGTATTAAAAAATGGTTAATATACTCTGATTCAAAAAGTTGCTTCGTTGCCTTACAAAATAAAGAAATAAATTCGCATTCCATTGTAAATAATATTTTAAACTTATACACCACTTTACTCCTGAAAGAATATGAAATAATCTTCTGTCTGGTACCAGGCCATGCTGGCATTTCAGGTAATGAAACAGCAGATTACGTAGCTAAGTCAACTAACAATATAACAAACAACCCACTTACTTACACAGATATCAAAAATGCGATTGACAATAAACAGTATTTACACTGGCAAAATGATTGGGAAAATGAAATAAGTAATAAATTACACGACATTAAACCTTCTATAGAATCTTATAAAAGTCTAAACTTAAGTCGAAAGCAGGAAGTAATATTAAATCGCTTGCGCATCGGTCACTCTCGAATAACTCATTAACATCTTCTATTAAACGAACCTGCACCCGAATGTTCTCATTGTAGGGAACCGCTCACTACTAAACATATTTTAATCAAGTGTAACAAATTTAAAACACAGAGACAACGCCATTTTGGTAGCTGTAATCCAATATTGACTTTTTTATTTGGGGATAAACCACACAATGACATTTTTAACTATTTAAGAGACATTGGTTTTTACAAATTCTCATTCTCATATGTGTTGGTTATCTTAGCATCTGCCCCGCTAGGGGCTCCAACTAATTCATCTGAGTGGAAATAAATAATAAATCGCCGAAGCGCAACTGAAAGGTGAAAGTTGGGGTTCAGTATCTTTACTGAGAGAAAATTAAAATGAAGTAGTGAGATTGAACAAACAAGTTTGAGAGAGAGAGAAGAGGTNCTGTTGATGCGTTAGCGGAGTAGCACAGTATTGAGTGAAAGTGTTAACTCACATAAAGAAACTTGAAGATTTAAACATTTCTTTATTTCATACAGTACCATCTCGATACAGCGTACAACTGAATATATGAAACATAAATACATCTTAACAAAAATGTTGGTACGTCACCGGAAACAACAACACAGTGACGTGACATAGTGAAGAGACAAAACAAGAAGTCGACTGATTCCATGCTTACAACAATGCATGCATTATATACAGATTCCATAATTATATGCACGGATGACGTCACTTACGTTATCTGAAAAGAAAATGTCTGTTGCCACCACACGACCGAAACTTAATTCTGTTAACTTAAGGTATTCAGAGGAGTAACAAACCACTCCAACAAACATATTTTAATCAAGTGTAACAAATTTAAAACACAGAGACAACGCCATTTTGGTAGCTGTAATCCAATATTGACTTTTTTATTTGGGGATAAACCACACAATGACATTTTTAACTTAAAACAAGTTGTAGGTGCGGTATGGCCAAAAGTGGCTTTTGCGCCAATAATTCTAAACAAACAATTAGATTGGTAGCGAATTAAATAGTAAAATTTATTGGATAAGAATAGTTATGCCTAAAAGTGATACCACGAGATAATGGCGGAAACGAGTACTTTTCCACTGAGGTAATTATCTCCGTAAATTATGATAGGCTTAGACCTGTTTTACTAAAATTAGTTGATTAGTTTAAATAATAGTTAGTATGTCAATTAAAATAAGGGTAAAGATTTAAAAAGGAAAGGACAACACTAACAGATAACAAATAAAACATAAAAATTTGGTAATTAGTGGGTTAGAGATGTCACTACATATATGCACAGAGATGCCAACTTGTTCCTGACAGCGAATAAATATTACCGAGTGGTAGTTAACTAATTGTGATTCCTTGTTTAATAATTTCAGTTCATTTATTAGATTTTTATCCACCACTATTTCTAAATAATTCGTAGGATAATATATTTACCCTTTTATTATTTGACCGGACTAGACTAGTTATGTCTTGCTGAGACTTTTAAAAAATTAGCAAAATTATTAAAATATTTACAAATTTCAGTCAGTAGTTATTTACAGTTTTTTTTTTAATTATTTTGGCGTGTCCAGAGCACCTCTGACATCCCAGCAAAGATATTAGTTTGGCCCCAGTTAGATTCAAAATTGGCTCGATATGGGTCCTATTAGAACACGATGCACAGAGAGAGCAATATTAGGATGTCTAGGTTATTTAATATGGGCCTATATAGGGCTTACATTAGCCAATTAAAAACCTACATTGGCAAAATAATGGATACAAAATATCGCATGAATCTGACAATTCTATGCAGAACCTAGATTAGTTGTAAAATATCGGGTGAATTGGAAAGTTCGATATTGGGCCGAAATCGGAAAAATAAAGGCGCTTTTCAAACCCTTACTGAGTCAAGATTCCCGAATATTGGCCCAATGAGGGCAAAAGTTATTTTGTTACTGTTTTGCTGTATATATATATATCAAAAATGCGATTGACAATAAACAGTATTTACACTGGCAAAATGATTGGGAAAATGAAATAAGTAATAAATTACACGACATTAAACCTTCTATAGAATCTTATAAAAGTCTAAACATAAGTGGAAAGCAAGAAGTAATATTAAATCGCTTGCGCATTGGTCACTCTCGAATAACTCATAAACATCTTTGATTAAACGAACCTGCACCCGAATGTTCTCATTGTAGGGAACCGCTCACTATTAAACATATTTTAATCAAGTGTAACAAATTTAAAACACAGAGACAACGCCATTTTGGTAGCTGTAATCCAATATTGACTTT